TATATATATATAACACGCGAGTTTATCTTTACTTATTAATTTGTTAAATAACCAAATGAAAGAGACACGTGATAACCAAATTAAAAACGTTAACACGAACCCGATTTCTAAAGATGATTTCAGATGAGTGCCGCCGGTCAGCATTATCGTTATCCCGAACAGGACTACGATCACTAGTACCAGCCGCGTCAGTTCTGTAATATCTATTTCGCAATCTTATTGTGCGAGGAGAGTTGAGACGAAGAATTGCCGCGCTTAACCGTCGTAGTCGATCCTGCATTGAAGTATCATTATTTTGTCCACTTGCACTGCTGCCATTGACGTTGTTGGTGTCGTTCAAAGGAACGTTATTGACGCGTATTAGCGGCACGTTAAGATCCTGTCTTGGGGATGATGATGACGACGTGAACGAGCCCGCAGCAGCAGTCGTGGATGAAGGACTAGCGTCGCTGCGAGATAAACCGCTGAATGGATTCCTTGTTAGATCAGGTTCTGGCTCATTTCGGCCAGTCGAAGCGCGCGAGTTAAGAAGAATATTTGCAAGAGAACGCATCCGGGGAGTGGTAATTTCCTCAAAATTATTGCGAGAGGAAGGAGGCATCATGAGGAAGGGGAAGCGCTGAACGAGCGAACGATACGACGACAGTCCGTTTTGATTGGCATCCCTAAAGTTTGGTGGATTAGCTGGAGAACGCCCTGCTTATAGAAAGAAATTTTTTTTAACCTGTACGTAATATTTTTTCTTACACGTGTGAACAAAAAATTAAACTTACGAGGAGAATCATCGTCATCGTCACGATCGTCACTGTCATTGTCCAGACGAACATTAGAGCCACTGCGACTTTGATAGCGTTGGTTTAATTCAGATGCCACAGTACTATTACTCTGAATCCTTTCGATAATGCTCTGAATCTCCGCCGACAAGGCCATCTCGTTACGAAAGTCGTTTGCCATAGAACTTTCATTGTCAGGTTCACTGTTACTGCCCGTTGATCTGTTTACATTAGAACTAGAGGGCTCAGAACGACTCGCTGTAACTGTGCTATTGCTATTTCTTGATGTATTTCGATCAGGAAACAATACGTTTATGCAATGGTAGAATGTACGGAAGCGATCAAAGATTGTGCGTCCTCGCATGTTTCGCCTTGTTGCTGTCACTCTCAGTGGTCCTGCTACAAAATAAGAGTACTCTGTAATAATACTCTTTACTGACTAAACTGGTATTTTCACCACAATGATTATAGTGAATTTACAGTGACCTTCACGGTAATCAAGAGAGTAATGTTACCGTTGAATTAACATTACAATTATCAATGTCAGAAATTCCATTTATGAGAATTAACTTATGACACTTTTAGTTTCTTTCTTATTATCATTTCAATAGTAATATTACGGTATTTAACAGAAAACTGTTTTTCACTTTCATTTTTTGTAGTAATAGATATTCAATGCATGGTGGTGAAAATTTTTGTACACTCTACATGATCGCATAGTTGCAAAACAATTTATAAATGTGTATACTAACCGTTGGTAACTCTTTGTTGAGCATTTGCATCAGGATATCCCGAAATGCTGGTATTTCTTGCACCATGTGAACCGACAGCAGAAGGTGCTTCAGTTGCTGTTCTCGCATGCGAACTCATTGTGCCATTTCCTGATGTTGCAGCTACCCTCGTTCTAAGGTCGATGACTTGCGCAGCTTGTGTTTCTTGTGTCGCTCGAGTTTCGGTACTATTTGCAGCAGAATTTGCTGGACCAGCTTGAGCCGAATTCGTATCTTGGTCATCGCCATTGGATGTTGCGATTAATCGAACGAGGAGTAGATCTGCCAATCCTAAGCCAAGAAGGGGTAATAAAAATATTTTGCTGATCTGATCGTAAAGCCTGCGATTTTGGTTGGCGTCGCCCAAACGATTCTCCTCGAAGAAGCGTGTCAGCCGCTCTACAATGAGACTAAGCACTTGTCTGGCCTGCAAACGCTGTACTTCATGACGATTCTCTATTATAGAGTCAAGAACTCGGTTTGCACTTGAGCCGCTAGCGCCATTATTGTTGCTGCTGCTACTAGAGCTGCTGTCGACATTACTACTGTTTGTTGAACGATTTGAATTTATCTGCTGTCGAATCAGGGACATCAGTCTGCAATACGTACGTTAAGGGATGTAATCAAAATAATTGTTACTCGATCAAGAATATATCAATAACGACAATGATCATTACACGAGAATATTTAGTGCTCACCTTACAACTAACGGATGAATTGAGGAAGCAAAATCATTGTCATTCGCCTCAGTGGAGTTTGTATTGCCGCTGGTACTAGCATTTGCATCGGCATTATCGTTAGAGTTGACGTTCAAGTTAACGTCGCTGATGTTGGACCAAGTTCTAGCTATCATATTGGTTATTCGACGCTGAAATCGAATCGATGATCGTCTATTGTTACGCGCTCTCATGATCTGCAGTTGGCGGTTGAATCTTGGTTGAAGGAAAAACATATTTCTTAATCTGTTTGGAATAACATTGATTTTTACATTATTTTAGGATGTCTCCCAATAAACTCGAGCTAAAAATAAATATTAGCCAAGATATAATTAAAGAGATAAATAAATGATGGGTGAACTTACCTAGGATCTCTTGGTGGAAGTACATTGTTTTGTGAACCCAAAAAGCGCGAGCGAGCCGCTAAATGATTAGTTAAATTAACGAAAAGTTCATTTTCTATGCAGTTAAGGACCATTGACTTATAATTCCTGTTGGATGGATTAGTGGCACTACCATCAGCAGTTGCACCAGCAGTACTTGTCGTACTGTTAGTGCTTGAACCAGCAGCGGCTTGATCATTCGATGGTGAACTAGTTGAGGAAGAAGCAGGTCTCCTTGGCGATAAATTTTGCGTGTTGTTCGACATCAATGAAAGTGATGAGTTCAGAAAAGAACGAACTATAAATTCACAAGCTGTTCCGAATCGCATTTGTTTGAGTTCCTCACTACTTGGTAAATCTGAGTTTGCTACTAGAAAGAAAAAAAAAAAAAATCAACTTAATAAGGTCCGACTTAATATGAGTGAAATTAAACTTTTAATAGCTAACCAGCACTATCGTTGCTCGTGCTTGTGCTGGGTTGAGGTTGAGAAGAATGTGAAGTACTGGGTTGATCTTCAGTGCTAACAGCTGATGAGGTGGAAGTAGATGCAGACGATTGATTAGCAGCATTTCTTTCAGACTGCTTTTGGTAATATTCCAACAGAGCTTTCTTAAAGCTACGAGTCTCAGTTGTAGATCGACTGTTGGAAGTAGATGCTTGCGAGCTAGATGCTGATGATTGTAGACCCGATGTAGAAGCCTGATTCACGTCTCCCCTGGTTGGAAAAAAATTTTTATCAATGAGTAACAATAGTTTTTATTCTTAGATGGATGAACAGTGTAATTCTTGCCTGCTTGTACTTGGCTGCGAATTATCGTTCGTGGAGGTTCCATCACCGTCTAAGCTTAAAATGAGTTGCTCCATGTGTCTTTGTAATTTTTCCAGCATTTTACGAACATGCAGTAATTGATCTATTTCCAAACGAGTACGACGTAAGCGCTGCATATGAACAATTTGTCGACCTTTGAAAAAGTGTAAAAAAAATATAAGCCACACTTTTTTGGCAATGATTTTTAATATCACTAACTTGAGCAATGAAAATTTGTTTGAAATAACTACCTAACAACTGAAGCTCTGTAAATCCTTCGTTCGCTTGCTCGTTGTTAGTTGTTTCAGTATTTGCAGATTCCAAAGGTTCAAGATTATTGGATGTCTCGGTATTTGTGGATCCATTAACACTATCTTCCTCTATCGAGGAAGTTGAAGGAGTAGGCTCTATATTGTTTTCAGGTGTTATTTGACTAGCTTCAGCTAATTCTCTCGCTTTGTTTTGTTCCAAATGCAAGTTTACAGTTTCCCGCAAACTTCTGAAAGGAAAAAGTGGCGGTTGTTCGTATCTCGTCGAGAATATCGATTCTGGGGATAGCGTATTCTGCTCGCTATTATTACGACTCGAATTGGTACTAGTGGTAGCATCGGAACTGGATGGTGGGTTAGCAGAACTGGGCATTGATTGGCGTAAGTTATTCAAGAGTCCATTTGCCTATAAAAAAAAAAAATTAACCTTAACTTAACAGAAAGAGTGTTGGATCATCACAATTCATATTTAAGTAAGCGCGATTGAACTTACACTAGATGAACGGTTACTTTCGGAATTTCTATTTGACGCTACCAGTTGGATCCAGCGGCTATTGTTGCGCCTCATTCCCAAGAGAGTAGTCGGAACGCTGGCGCCATTGTTAGACTCTTCATTATTCGAATCCGAGCTGCTGTTCTCTTCCAATAACCAGTAACCATTTTCCATAGGCTCACTGGCGCTCTCGGCGTTATCGTTATTCGACCTAGCTGGTTCATCATCGAAACAGAGCTGGAACGCGCACCAGATGATGTCAAAGTTGTTCTGGTTGACTTGCTGTACATGGCGCAGGATACGCAGCAATATGCTACTTGTTGTGCCTGACGGGCTCGGATTATTCGGCGGCTCGTTTCTATCGGAAGTCGAAGTAGACGGGGCTGAAGATGGTTCGCCATTGCGAGTCGAAGAGAAGGTGGACGGCTGGTCACGGCTTGGTTCGGAAGTACTACTTCGCTGATTGCTCGTTGAACGAGTCGGTTGGAATGCCGATCGAGACGAGACAGAGAAATTGAATGGCAATCGCTGAGTAGGCAACTGCCAGGTGCTCGTGTTTTGCGTCTGCTGTTGTTGTTGTTGTTGTTGTTGTTGTTGTTGTGGCTGTGTACTAATGTTGTTGGTAGTCGTCGTTGACGAACTACCTAGCGAGGATTCGGCCGGGCTGTAATCGCTTTCTAGCCTGCGTCGAGTCGGCCGTGGCTGGTCATCCTCGTTGGGATCGGTTTCCAATGAACGTCTCACACGAACTTGCGGAGATTGATGGCTTCTCATATTCTCTAGAAAAGTGTCCCTTACTCGTCTTAATTCTTGCATACGTCGGCGTAAGGACAATGACGGGGAAACCCGTATCTCTCTACCCTGATTGGGCTCATCCAAGTGTGAATTTATCTCCTGGCGTATGCTCTCGATATCATTGTTGATATTCGACAAAGTCTGCTCGATGTTATTCAAAAGTTCCAATTCTCTGCCGACCGCGTTGATAAAACTTTGCTGTACCGAGTTTTGCCGGGTAGTTGAGTCAGACATTATCGCAGATATTCGCGTGCGCAAGCCTTCGCGTAGTTTCCTTAAATTTTGCAACCACTCGGTGATGTTCTGCTCAATGCCACATACCTCTTCTTGCAGGTAAGACCAACTTGTACGATTCGTCCCATATAACACCGTCCAGCGCAGCGAGCGTCGCACTTCATCAACGAAATTGTCCAATTCATATACGCTGGTTCGCAAAATATTACGAAGTAACTGCGCAAAAGCCTCGGCGAGAATGTAGTAATTGTTAAAATCCGTGGACAGTCTGTTCGACAACCGTGAGTTCGCTTGCAGGCTGGCTGCAGCCCTCCTCCGCACGCTGGTGTTTAATATTTGATCAAACTGTCGAAAATAAATTGATGATAATAAGTAATAGTTTACAGCACAATGTACGTTCAACGAGAATTTTACCATTATCGTAATCAACTTACCACCTCGTTGTATCTCTGCAAACGATTAGCCACCGACATCCTGCGATAGATGCCATCACGTCGCAACCGACGATAGAACATAAGCCGGTCTAGAGGAGACGTTACCGTTCTGTCAAAGACCGAGCTGTCAATGTTCACTAACTCGTCTTCACTGCTATCCTCGTCCGACTCGACTCTCGGCAGCTGCGGCCAAGGTGTTAGTGGCGGAGTATTGCTGCGTCGCTCTTCGTAGGGTAACCGCTCGATAACGATGTTAGACACGCGAATCGGGTTATTACTAGTAGTGCCGCTTGTCGAGGCCCCCGCAGCTGAAACGGACGGCTCATTTTGATGAAAGATCGACAAAGCAAGGCTACGGGTGTTGCTGACCGAAGAATCCTCGGGTCGCGAGTTGCTGCTAGCACTGCTGCTAGCGCTGCTGGTACTGCTACTACTGCTGCTGCTATTGGTGACAATGGCCGATTCTGATGTCCTGAACTCGGGTCTTACTACTAAATAACTACCCGCGCGATCTATTCTCTCGACCGTTGCCTCGCTCCTCGGGCTTCGATGCGGGCCGCGAAAAAACGGGGGTACTGGTAGCCTTCCCGGGATGACGACATTTCCCCGTCCAGCTTCCCTATGTTGAAATATCAAAATACCATTAAAAAACTCAATGTTTTTCTTTTTATTTAATATTGTTGATTTTTTGGAACAAATCGTGAGTTGTGAGAGAAGTTTATAGAGTTAACACGAACGGTGCATCACTATTCTACAAAAGAATAAGTGAATAAAACATGAATCGACATAGTAGAACAGTTATTGAAAGTTGATGTCAAAAATGTGAAATGTTCAGTTAAAAAATGATGTTTTTTGTCACAGTATAAAGCTCAGGGTCAATTTACAACATTCAAACAAAGGTGAACCACGTTTATGATGAAGGATGTTCTTATATTTTGTGTCAACGTACCACCGAGGTCTTAATAAAAAAATCACTAAAATTTCGAAGTGGGATAAATGCTCTATCGTTTGATTCAGATAGAGCAGTGGGGTCGACTCGTAAAAACCTATCCCTCACTGCTCTGTAATACGTAGATTTAATAAAAAGTTGAATTATAGATGTACAAAAGATAAGAGTGTGAAAAGCAGATCAATTTACCTTGTTGCAGGGATGGTTCTGATTAAATTATCAATCGGAGGTCGATCCCATTGAGAAGTAGGGCTCGGATTTTCAATGCCTGTTATAAGCTTCCTTCCCAAATTATCAAATGCTACGTATCTGAAAATTATTTATTTTCAAGCATTTGATGAAATATTTTGAAACAATATATTATTAATCATACCAACCTAACTTTTTCCCTGATACTTTTCGTGGAGATGAAGGTGAACGGTTGTGAACTACTACCCCAATCCCAAAAATGAATCTCATTATCCGTAGCTATGGCAAGTAATCTGTCCACTGGATGAAAAGCTAACGATGCTATTTGGCTCTTTGGTTTGCAATTCCAAACTTCGCTACCTCCCTAATGGCATGAAAAAGAAAATCTTTCATCGTACTCACGATGTAATCGCAAATGCATTCTTAAATCAATCGAAAATTTAAAGTAAACAAGAGCTTACGCTGAGGTCCCAAATACGAACTTGTCCACCCAAACAACCAGATGCCACAATATCGTTTGAAGTCGGATGAAATGCTATACACCATGGCGTACGAGGGTGACCAGTAAGGATTTTTACGTTCTTTCCGGTTGTAATGTCTGTGATATAAATCTTGTGATTTCCGTGAGTCGACGCAACTTTTGTACTAATGAAAAAAAAAAATAATAATAATAAAATTTTTAGTAGGATTATCAAAAAAAAGACACTAGTATTAATATTATAAATAGGTTTTAAGTCTAAAGTCTTTGCCCCCGGAAATCTGTACTAATGAAAAAAAAAAAAAAAAAAAAAAAAAAAAAGAAAAAAAGAAAAAAGAATTGAAAAAAAAAAAAAAAAAAAAAAAAAAAAAAATGTTTTTCTTACCAATTCATTCAGCGTTTTTAAAATAAAATTCGTCTCGGCGAGGCACTCAAATTGTTTATTGTTTGATTTCTGCGATCCTCGAGCACTGCACTCGCGCATCATCAAGCTCCGTAAAACATTTTGTGGTCGACCACTTTGGGACTTGTCATTTTTTAATTTACCCATTTAGGTATTTATGTTTCACCGGTGCTTCAGTGTGAATCTGAAAAGTAAACAAGTAAATACAATTTTATGTCGATTTCCGCTTCACTGATTATATAAAGATCAAAAATATTAAATTATGTCAATAATTAAATGTTTTCCAGTTCAACTATCGCGAAAAATGTGATAAATATATATGTGTATATTTTTTAACGCCAATCCACACTCAAGCCACTCTCCGTTGCACATGGATACTTTCTTATCTCCACCAACACTTGCAAAACGACAGTAAAACTCGCACCGTTATTAGGCCTCTTGGGAAATCCAGTGTGCAGCGTGTGTAGAACACAACTAAGTGTATTTATATTATATAGGTATAGGTTAAGCAGAGCTGAATCAATGAATTGGCTGAAAAAGATGCAAACTGAGCGTTTGAAGGAAGAAAAATTATATTTAACGAAAACAAAAACGACTAAAAATTTCGCGAGTCTGTCATCGCGTGGCAAAACGAAAATCGGCTTTTACAAATGAACGGGGATCCGGCAAAAAGAACAAATGACATAAAAGAAAAAAAAAAAGGGGGAGCGCATTCATCACTGGCCATATACCTTGCACACTTCGAAAAATGCGAAAACAGCCGAGTGTCTTACAAAAAATATACATAGGTATGCAAGAAAAGCACTGCACAATCCTTTATCCTTCTTCCCCGCACATGCCTATAATCTTTACAAACCAGAAAGCAAAAGAAAATCCCACACACATACCCAGCACTCGTTTGACACGTGTAATGAAATGCCACACGTTATGACGTATAGTCATCGACAATAACAAAAACGACTGCGTAAGTAGAGGTCTCAGTCCATTCTACACAATAGAACGTGTAACAATCAACTATACGTATATCTGAATTCTGTGGTAAGTAAATAAGTACTTTCAAAAACAATCGACAATCTAAAAATTTGGGTATCAGCACTTTGGACTACTGAGAATTGTGGAAAATAAATCGATGTAGTGAAAACTATGTATAAACTGAGAAAAAAAAAAAATAGTATACGGACTGCTTGTTAAAAACTATTAGGTGCACCTTTCTCCGTAGTCATTGTTTAATAACTGTATCAAATACCCGATCAAACGTAAACTCTGCACTCTCACAATTACTCTTTCAATACTTAAGTACCACGTTTATCAGCAGACTACTCAAGCAAGAAAGTAAGGAGCTTTTATACTTTTTTACAACTCATCCCTCACTCATCAATATAAATATACAACCACACACGCATGTTTTGTACAAAACATCATATGTTGAGCGACAACAATATGAATAAACTCTAGATTTCCTCGAAAAAAAACTTAGAAATGGCAATAAACTGATATTACCTTACTTTCGCCAAGTCCCCAAGTAGAGATAATATATAAGAAGAAACGAAAAATGAGGTACTTAGAAGACTGCAAATGTCTAAAGAGTAAGTAAGTATAAGCAGTGACTGGTGAAAGAGTTGGTGACGACGCGCTCGTACAGTTAGCACAATAGCACACAGCATAAATGACGCGTCATGTATATAAACAGTGTATAACACTGCTTCCGTGCTGCTGTTTCTTTTCCATGCACAAGTAAGTACTCATACTTATTTTGTTTGCTCCGAAATTCCCGTCGTGGAGCGTCGTCGTGTCATGAGTGTAGTATTGTATATACTTTACATGTACACATACACTTTCACGTACACTCGCTCAATGAAAGATACATTAACTTTAAGTACACTAGACACCTATCACCTTTACAGACAACAATATACTAACGTTAAAATTATGCAAGCTCTTGTAAAAAAAAAAAAAAAAAAAAAAAAGTACTTAGGTATCAGCAGGTAACAGAAGACGAGATATAGAAAAGAAAAAGTTTATATGACGCCGCTGCAATCCAACGTCCAACTGCACCTACAACTTTGTGCCACTTATACTTTCTAGATTCCCTGATGCCCCTCTCTTTCTCACTCTCACGAGCTCCGATTTGCTCGCCCTATATATAGCGCAAAAAACCAAAAAGGTCAGCCTGCAGCCAGTAGCAGCAGCAGTGTTTAATTACAGACGTACTTACATACCAAAACTTATTTCCCCGATCACCACACTGTTCCTGCCCTGGTCGTGTGTATGCTATGCTATCTGCTATACACTCTGCAACTTTCTGTTTCAGCGGAGCGTGATGTGATTATGTTGGTGACATTATACGTGCATGTGACGCCTAATAGGTATCTATCGCTATCGACACTATCTCATCATGTGCACATCGCTCGTCCATATAGGTAATTTCTTCTACCTATCCTCAGTAGTATTACATTTCCTGCTATAACCTTGTATTATCATGATACGAAACATGCTTTTACAGCATTGTACTGACCAGACAATATAAAATGTTAATCAACGCTGTCATGAAAGGTTGCCACTGCTACACGGCGTGGCTTCCAGAACACTTATATTTGAGTTGCGTCATAGGTGTTAGGTGTCGCGTTATCTATCACACACACATGCATGAATTTTTCGTCATATCTAACGCATCGTACACTTTGAAAAAACACTTTGAGAGTTAACAAATTAATGATACAAGCATTAAAAAAAAAAAAAAAGTTCATACCCAAATTTAGCACGAACAGCTCGCCCGGGACATGGAATATAGGATGGGTGTTGTATATATATATATATGTGTGTGTGTGCTCCGAAACTTATCAGCTGATCTGAAAACTGATCTATATGACGAGTAAACGATGGTATAAGTATAATAAACACATCTTGGGTCCTGCAGATGAGGATAAAGTAAGCTGATACAAATGTGTATAACTCACTTCAACTGTTACGTTTCAAAAGTACAATTATTTAGACCAGTACACACTTTACTTTACTCTTCCCCCTCAGAAACAAGCTGAGCTATTCTGTGTAGCACTGACACTTGTGTGATAGAGGATCGAGGGATTCGACTGTTTCGAGGTTGCTATTCAAGCACTACTACACGAGCACACGCGCACACCTGGTGTGCCGCCTCACACACGCGTTTTATTGTTAACTGATGCCGTTGATGCACCCCCCCTTTTGGAAAAGCTGGTCGCTCCGATTCTAACGGTCGCCGTTGTATAACCGTATATGTACCGAAAATCGAAGATACAGTGATTTTTCCTTCTTACCTGTTTTTTTGGATGTTCTTCTACAGCGTGCTCCAATCCTCGTGATCACTGGTCAGTCGATTGAGGAGAACAAGTATTAGGCATAAGTATGTACAAGTTGACGACGAGAGAACGATGCAGATCCCTCGATCGAGAAAGCTGGGCTGCGGCAGCTCGTCCCAATGATACCTAATACTTAAATATATAGCCGACGATGATGACACCACGTCTCTATTTGTCGCCTCCGCTCCTCCAGCTCTTGTCCTCGATCCCCAGGTATGGGTACTAATGTCATGTGTCCGCGTTGTGTGTCTACTCTTCTCTCTTCTATTTCGGACTAACTCTTAGTCGGACCTTCACACTCATTCACAGTCACACAGGGATCAGGGATAATAAATATGTTGTAAGTATGTGCCATATACAACCATATCAAGTGTTGCCACTGTGACAAGCAAAAATCTCACTAATCAGTGCTGCAGAGAAATATGTAAAAAGCTAAGCACAAAATTTCAAACAAATAGAGGGAAACAAACAACAATAAACTGCACTACTTATATTACATACGAGCTCTCATAATCTCATAATATCATATGCTTGTAGAAGCACGTGCTTGCAAACACTTGTATTTATAATTTTAAACATACGCAAATACTTCATGGGATTATTTCGATTAAATGATACCCGAGCGAACTTAAATTTTCACTATTTTTTCTTTTTTTTTTTTTTTACACCAAGTGTGGACATTTTATCTTATATTATTATAACGTACTCAGTGTACTGTGGATACTAATATGGATAGGTAAGAAATATTTCGGAAATCCGGAATAAACACTAACACTTTTTTAATAAACCATAAATATTTTTTCAACTTTACAACTGAACGTTAATAGTTAAGGATATTATTTGAAAAAAGTTAACAAAAGGAAGTCACTGTTTATCCATACTTTACGCATCCAATGATCCAATTCTCCGAGCCTGCGAATGGGACGTCACAAATGTCACGAGTCTCTAGTTACAGTAGTTACGTTTCGCTGACAACCTAAGAAACCAAATCTCACCATATGAATTTGTAAGTACAACAATGCTTCTTTCCTCAATAATAATTGTACTGTGGAGTAATTGGGCGCATTTGATGATAATTACCGTTCGTTCTAAAATTACAAAGAAACTTATACTGATTATGGAACGAGTATACTTTTGTTTCCACAACCAGTTAAATTTTCTGTGCATTTTTGGAACGAACAATTCGAATAACGAACGGTAATTTTCGAACGCGCCCATAAAATGTTCCTTGCAAGATTTTCAAAATATTGTAATCTCTCGTTAATGCGGTAGAAATAGATTTTTCCGCATAATATAATAACATATAGTATAAATATACTGTAAATAATCGCTTTTTATAATAATAATAAAAAAAACTCTTTTGGCGTCTAGTAGACAATTATTTTTTATTTTATACAAATGTCGCAGGTACATTTTGTTGATTGGAATGTACCTATATTGTGTAAGGGAAAAAATTTTCAAGTACACATCTTATAAGAACATGCGATTTATTGAGCACAATAGTTATTAACATTTTCCGAATTCTCCTCATCACTCTTCGCATATAACGATATAAATTTTTGATCAAACAACAAAATTTCTTCACTATAATACACACAATCGAGAGTATACGTAAAGTGTAATTAAATGGAAAAATTACAGCCGGCATTCTGTCTATGAAAAAACTTTCTTTCATTCCTCCAGGCACTAGATTTTTTTTTTCCTTTAAATATTACAAACACAAAGAAAAAGGTGATTACTCGATTATCGCTAGAACTAATGACGATGAGATCGAAAGTATGTTACGAGTATGTCGAAGAAATTACTTTATTATTATTATTATTATTACGCGCTTTGAAGTTTATAGGATTACAAGTTACTTCTTTTTCGTAAATTAGAAACTTAATTCTATGACAAAGAATTTTTAAACCTCGTTCATTTAACTTTTTACGTGTTTTGGTTAATATTTTTTTCTATTTTTTTTTTTTTTTTTAATGACAATAAGACTATTACGTTATAAATCGCTAATAATGAACTACAAAATATTTCAACACTTTTACAATAAAATCAACATCCGGACTAATACGCATGTTCTATTTTGTATTTAAATTGTCTTTTGTATAATCCATCAAAATTCCTTAACGTTCCGTCGGTTGTAAATTTACTGTAGAAGTAATTAAAATATCTTAGCAGTACTTACAGAGTTGACAAAAAAGTAAGATATGATGAAAGACAAACGACCTTTGCAGTGTCATTAATATATACATTTCTACCCTTACGTTGTTTCGTTTAATCGTTACTTTATTCCTACCTCGCACCCTATAAAAGCGGTGAAGATAAATTTGCACCAAAAAACGTATTGACTCGCTATAAAAAACGTATACATATATTACACATGGACGTATGAAGCGGCTTAAAATTAAAACAGAATCACCGTGCAATTTTCAAAATTGATTTTTTTTATTATAACAATATTCATAACGGCCCTATTTGTACAAAAACTTCTTGGCCCCAAAATATTTCTATGTACAATTGCTTTATGTGAATTAGATTTTCATATTACAAAGAAAAACGTGATTATTTTACAAAAACGCTGTGTCGATAAATCTTTGTACAAATCTGTATAAATCAATACCATGGTAAACGTGTCCCTGAACTATTTATAGGTATATAATTGATTAGAAACTTGCTTTGAAGTTTCGTTAAGGAAAAAAAAAATATGTATAGCAACTCGTGCGAAAACGACGTTACATCAATAAGGTAGATAAATAACTATCTTATGTACAGACGAAAAAAAATCATTTTGACAAAATCAATTTTTTTGCATTAAAAATAATTGTTACAAATTTGTAAACAATAAACACAACTAACATAAATCCTATGTAATTATTTAAAAAATTTGATAAAAATTGTAGAATTTGGATTTCAATGTTTAAAATTATTGGATACGTGGTTTGTTAATTTTTTATCTAACTCGGATAGCTACGAGTCGAAATTTTTACTGTCAGACTTTTCTATATTGTTTTGGAATTTGAAATGTTGCAAAATGAAAATTTTATGGTCACGACATGGAGTTACTGCAGCCTTTAAACAATCAAAAAATTTAAACGAACGACATTATAATTATAATGGTTACATAAATTTAAAAAACCGTGGTTACTCGTGTTCACTTTAAAAAAAATACACGTGCGGTACCTATTAAAAAATCGCGAAGCACATCGCCCACAAGATCATAAGTTTTTTAGAATCATATAATTTTTTTCATTTTATGTATAAGACTACCTAGCTATGGTTTTGTTAAAAAAATTGTAAGATAAGCCTTTATTTTTTATGATGGTGCATTTGATCAGTACTCATATGTATTGAATTAATCAATCACTGAGTGATTAAACACTTTATTTGATACTAGGAGTCCAATAGGAAACTTGAATAAAATTATGATTTCATTCATGAGAAAAATGAGTGATAAAAAAATTTATGGAAAGTTTAACATACATACGGCACAAGGAACTTATGTCTTTCTTTATTTAACTAAAGACTATTTGTAAAAAAATTTCGTAACAAACGAAATGCTTCAAAAAATCTGATGTTTCAAATAATTTTTCTCTAAATCAACTTAAAAAGATATGTATTTGTTACATGTATCAAAAATTCTGGATAATCACTCCCAATTGGATGGAAATTTTAATACTAAAAAATAAACTGAAAATGCTATGGTATGTTACATTTAGTTATCAGTTTACATAGGATAAGCCTTGCTAAAATGTTATTATGTCAAATATTTCAGATTACCTGTTATAAAAAATAAATTAGCTCAAAATTTATAAAGCTGAATATATTTTTACAGGATAAAAAAAATTGAAAGTATATATGCATCAAATTAATTTTACATGAATAAAAAATAAATCGGAACAGAAACGGAATAAGCATACGCTATGAAATATACGGCCTAAGAGAGAAATTATTCGTTGTTTTGGAACAACGACAACGGCGTATTTTATACAGGACGCAATCGGGACTCTAGATTGTCTTAAAAATGATCTCCTTAAACTTTTTTATTAATTTTCTTATACTTTTATTATAACTGTAGATAAAAAAATAGATTTATGCGTGAAAATTCTACGTACACCTCAAATGTCGCTTTGACTTACACTTTGATCAACATAACGTCATTCATGCATCTCACTTATCATTTAGCTTGGTGTCCTTTAAATTTCTCTTTTTGCACTTTCATTTTGAGGATGTTTTTCGTTTCGTTTACATATTTATTTTTTGTTTGAGAGTAGTAAAAAATGAAGAAAGTCAAGGAACTATGTGTGTGGAATCAAGCATGTGTTGCAGCTCTGGAAATATTGTATGTATTATACGTCATATGGGAATATAAAAATAAATCGGTTTAATTGATGCGCTATGATAATTTTGTTGACTGCTTTGTCGATTTTATTCTTTGTGACACTGCAAACTTAATCGATGAATTGTTTTTAGTACAATTACTCGATTAGTATTGGCACTTTTGTATAAGTTTCACTCGGGTTATTTAATGCTTTATAAAAAAAAAAAAAATTAAAAAAAAAAAAAAAACAGTTTATAGAAAGTAAGAAATTTTGACAATTTTTGATTTCTGTTGAGACCCTGTGACTGAGTATAATCTACAATTATCACACTCAAGTTTGTTTGATTCAGTCATTAAGGTTGCACAAAGGAAAAGTTAGGAATAAAATTTGATTTACACCTTGAAACTAGCTTGTTCCCAAACCGCCCTAGCACAAACAAACTATGCAAGAACCAATACTTTTCGACATACACAAGAATGCTACTCAGTTCTCACATTAAAAAATGTTTCAATTCAGCCTGAACATTCATACGAATCCTTATTCTTCAATCGTATTTGTAAAATTTAACAACTAAAAACTTGACTCGAAAAAAAATACGATATCAGAGTTTTAAAATATTTTTGTAAAAATTTTCAATGTAACATGATTTGAAATCTTTGTAAAACATAAAACTGTATCGAATTTTCAGTGTATATAGTTTCGAAATCTTAAATAAATATTTTCTAATAAAATAAAAATAATAAATAGCACATAAAAAAAAAAAAAAAAACATAAATCACACAATAATTAATAATCTTGCTTATGCAAAATTTCACACTATAATAAATTTGATTACGCCATTTTTCAGTCATAACAAATATCCGTACCGTCATTTCTAACGGCTATATACATTACTTGATTAGTATTGCGGACATACCTTTTTGTGAGAGACAAAAACAACGTTTGCTTTTGATTTGTATAACAGTTTCTCTTTACTTTAAGATAAAATAGCTATACTACGCCTGTGCCCTCCTATGCACACGTTGTCTAAACTAGACCACTTCTTAATACCATTCCGTAAAACGTCAGCCATTACTTTGTCCTCGTAAATTCTAGACATCGCCTCGAGCTTTTGCGCCTTATCTTTACTCAACGGCTCACTGGGGAATGTCAACTCGTTTGCTTCGGCAAGCGTGCGTAAGTCAAAATAATATTTGGCATATACACTCGAAGGAACATTTATATTAAACTGAAGCATTTCCAAAAATTGTCTTTCCAACTCATTCCTAAAAAAAAAAAATATATAATCACAATTTCCATTTGCATACAACGATAATAAAAAAAGTATTCAATACACTTACATATCTTCCACTGTGATGTCTTTTAATATCTGACAATAGTCAACATTCCATACAGCCTGATCATCCCATACTTTTGAAGCCAAGAGGATTGCTCCCAGAACAATTCTCTTCCAATTGGCTGGGGTTATATCTAGTTCTGCATATGTGAGCAAGCGCTCAAGATAAACTAGCGTTATAATGGCACATTCAGCCGTAAGTTGTGCAGCGTTGAAAAGAGTTCTTACAAATTTATAAATCTGTTTATGCTCTGGATTGTGCTTATCGTAATCCTCAGACACTCCATCACGCTAAAAAATAATTAACGCAATTAGATAAAAAATACTTGTGCCCTTATCGTGACATTAAATAATTTTTGTTGTACTTACTGTCAACGGATGTAATTTTTCATCAAATATTTCGAGTTGCCTGTTGGACGATCTATTTTTAATATTATAATACACGGCTAGAGCTACACACTTGACGGTATTTTTTAAATTAGGCTGAGAAACTGTACTGTCATCTAGGTATATTGTACTACAGCTACTACTCTTTTTAAGAGGCCTTGTCTCTGCTATTTGGTATTGACTTTTTTTCCTAACTAATCCATCTGTAATAAACAAAACAACAACATTTACAGTATTATTTATTGCACGTTAATATTAAAAATTAATTTTTTTATTTCCCAAAATTTATTGTTTGATTGTTAGACTTACTTTCAATAGCTTTTTTGGAACGCTCCATGAAAATAGTACCAGCACAGGGATGTAAGGACGGATCGGAATCCCAATCTTCAGGCTCTCTTTCGCTTATATGCTGAAGATTGTTGATACTGATCTCACCCTCTGGAAGATGATCTTCAAGACCTCTCACGCCAATGTCATTTGCATGCTCCTTACGTCCCATTTGTGGACTAGAGTAGGAGCAGCAACTGCTTTTGTTACCCATTTTTCTTTGATTTCCGTACAGCAACTAACTTTGGCAGATCTGCAAGCTTGCAGGCTTCTAAAAAACTTTATCATCAGTTAGAGAAAATAATGTTCAAAGAATTTTTATGGGTTTTAAAAAAATGTTAGCAAACCAGAAACTTATGATACAAAAATATTGATAAGATTAAGTAGTTTGTTAGTCACCATTATAATCAATTTACTGATTTTTGTAATACCATTAAAAGAAAAATATCATTCTGTGATAGAATAACTCTCTTAGTAATAAATTTTTGGCACAAAAGTTACAGGCCAAGTAGGTACTATACAGTCAAGAGAAAGTGTCATATTCCAATAAGACGTGCAAGTATATTCAAATGATTATAGAACTGACACAGAGAGCTAAGGGGCACAACGCATTCAATAAAATGCATTATCGGTAAGACCATTATTACTTATGAGTCACTCCAATAAAATCTAAACCGCCCGCTCTATACATATACTTAGTTTTCCACCGATTCCGCCTCTGCAAACGTCTTTCAACAATAACTCGTGGCGAAGCTCGCGAATTCCGGTATAATAAAAAAAACGTACACGAAGCACATAGGTATATAAGAGTAAGGTGTGTAGGTACTTGTGAATTCGGAGCACGCTTTTGCTCGTACTACTACCAAATATTTACATATACTGTCGAGTATTTGACTCCAAAAAGGAAAGAGGAATCGAAGAGGAAAGAAAAGCATTGAGTGTGTGTTGGACAGAGAATAAGTATAGGTACTTGTAAGTAATACATTATTGAAAGGCCCCAGAGTGGAGAGCCAGGACGACTCACTGGATCGGTTAGACTGCAGGGGCCAGTGATGGAATTTATCGATGCCCCCCTGGATCAGCTGACGCAGCTGGACACGAAGAGCAGGAGTTGGATGGTGGTGGATGCGAGAAGGGGCCTGAAAACCTCCTCGCCGTCGCTCATGATGAACCGTTGACGAACCTCTTGCTGTTTTCAATGCTCCTTGCTGCCTCTCTCTCTTTCTCTCTCACTCTTAATTCCTATGAGCTCGAATTATCCGTGCAAGCATGACAACCCATAGCCTAAAAGTCGGCCCACACGCAAAAATACGGGCTGCTGCAGATGTACTGCAAACAAGACACTCCACGACAAATTCCCGGGAGGAGCACCTCCCGGAGAACAGGGAAGTGCGTGCAACTCCTCTCGGCTACTTGTACAAAGCGACGAGATCTCCATACGAGCCACGACAATGTATACACCTCGCCTTCTCCCGCACACGCACGCCTTCCTTTTTTGTTTTCCCCCCTGTCCTCGGAGACGACGACGAGGCGCGCCTTTAAATCCCCGGACTAGCTCTTTCGCCGGCCGACTGACTGGCTTCCTTGTTTTTTTGCCCTTTTTGCTCTTGCTTTGTCTGCCTTGCGGGGCCTCGCGCACACACACGCACCGCCGCGTGCCGCTGCCGCCTGGAGCGCTGCTGATGCTCGTTACTTCCGGAGCAGCTCTCTCTCTCTCTCTCTCCACTCCAGCCAGCATCTGCTAGACGTTTGAGATTGAAGGATCATCTAAATCTCATCTTCACAACTACACTTACTTACTTGTTTATTTATAGCTCTGGATATCACACATCAGCGGCAGCTATATATACTTATACTTGTACCAGTTGCATGTTGTTTTATCCATTAAGTACATTGTGCATGTAAAATGCAAATGCACACGCATGAATGAGCGCTTTCGTCCTTGCATTAACAGTCGCAGTTCGCATACTTATTCCGTAAAAAAAAGTGTACTTACTTACATGTTATTTATAATGTTTATGGTCGCCAATTAGAAAAGACTAAAATACTTTTGTAAGTTGATTAGTGAAATCAACAAGACGTGGTTCTGATTTATTTTAAAGATATTTTTTCTAAGCGCTCCTGCAATGAAATCGTCGTTGCGGCTGTTTAACGAGAGCTTTTTTTACAAATTATTTGAATTTTAGAATTTAAATGTACATACTACAACTTATTAATATATTTGTATACTTATATATTAAGTAATAGTGGGTGAAAACCTATGTCCAGACTCACTATTAGTACCATAAATTGCTCGAATAATTTGATTATGATTTTATTACAATTTTTATCATTTCTTCTTGTAATTTTTTGCCACTCAATAACTGTACAGCACATTTTATTTTGTATACATCATGGCTTTTTGTATTTTTTCTCGAATGCCGCAGTGATGCTGCTTTACTAATATCCGGATTTTACTCAATCTGTTTTCTTCGCCCTTATATACCTACATATCTACATATAATATATACTTACTGGGAATACGGTATACTTTTCTCCATGAGTCACATATGAATGTACTTAAGTATGGAGAAGAAAAAAAAATCTGGAGAAAGAAAATACTTTTACGACTCGTCATCCAAACAAAAGCTCAACAGATGCAGCGCTGACTGACGTATATCATTAACGTACGCACGTGTGCAGTACGAGTGTGTATTATATATTATATATTTTGTTTCAGCTCTCGTTCCCCCCAAACCATTAACGAACTTTCTTTGTTGCCTAAAACAAAAATTTGTACTTTACGGATTCTGAAATTCAAAAATTTGGATTGTACAACTGTTTCGCAATTAATAAAAAAATTTACTTAATCTTGAAAACTATAAACACGAGTCCTGAAAATACCTTGAAGTTTTTCGGAGCAAAATAAAAAAATGTTTGTTTGGCACAAAGGCCCCTTGAACTCTTCTTTGTTGTTATTTTTTAAATTAATATTACCAGTCATAATTTTATTTAAGACCTTTTTTTTTATGATTGGATAATATTCTTTAAAGGTCCTAAGAAGATTTTTTTTTTACTTGTAAGTTAGCACTTATGAGTTGGTTAAAAAATTAATTTATTTTAACAGAATTCTATACAAAAAAAAAAAAAAAAAGGAAAAAATTTTTTAAATCTTGATGAAATTTTAAGTAGACCATATATATTAATACTATTCAGTGAATTTTTCATGTCTAAGTAATCATAATTTGATGAAGAAAAATAATCGAAGGCACAAAGGCAGAAGTAAGCTGCTTAGCGCTTGAAAACGCGCAAATTTATTTATATTTCATCTCAAACAATGGTAATCGGATCAAAGAGTTTTTCAATGAAAATAAAAGATGCAAATTTAAATTCCTTAAAAGCTTTTTTCTTTTTCTTTTTCCAATTAGTACAAAGACTTGGAAAATTAATTTAACCATGCGAAAGTTTCGTAGAAAATCCAAATGCTAAATAATTGTAAAGATTTCATTGTACGTTATAATCATACTGTTTCTCTCATGAACATTGTACCAGCCGCGTCTTACGATATCGTCGTTTTGAATGAAAAAAAAATTGTTAACACTCAAATTTTTTTTTTCTAAATTGCCATATCAACAATATTTTGATAATTTATTTGCACATGATAAAAATAAAATTTTTTGACTGCTGGCTGATAGATTTAACGAATATTATTTTAGCCCCGAATTCTTCACTATCCCATCAGCCGTTAATATTCTCGGACGTAGCAGAAGCGTTCAAATTATCGGAAGTGAGTATAATCATATTATGGGTAAAGTGCAAGGGGTGAAAGAAAAGGTGCAGCAGTCACTCATAAAGAACAAAACGGATATGACAGTTGGGGCTGCAAGCTGCAAGTACATACATAATACACGTATACATGTACAATATACTTGTAACTCAGCGGTCGAAAGCCCATCCTGTATGTTTTGGAGAGCAGCAAAGTAATAAAATAGCTTTTTATATGTATAGACATACGTACATACGTAGGTACCAGTCGTACGTGTACATTTTGTACGCCCGTCTAATACAGACGTATTTGACGAAATGACGCATCCGGTTGCGGATTACACTGCAGTATACTTACTTACTTGCATGGATATAAAAGAAAACAAGACGTTGTACTTATTTATACGAGATGAGCGAGAGAGCAAGACCCAAACGCTTAATTGGGCTCCATGTAATATTGCTGTGCTTAGAAAATATGTAGAGCGCCAAGTGGAGTTTTATTACAACACGCACGAGGAAGCTTTTAAACTTCATAGATTGAAATAAAGAGGGGAAAAAACAAGTATTGTTTTTTTTTTTTACCGCAAAAAAATTATTTTTTATTTTTTTTTTTTTTATAATTTATCCAGCTATGCTGGTGAAATTAAAACTATCCCTCACCCAGTCTTTTTTGTGACGAGAGTAAGTAAAAGTAGCCACAAAAACAGGTTGTTTTTACTATTGCACGCAGTACATTTACGTGGAGAATGAGTAAATAATATTTTTCAAGCAAAGAAGAGAAATTCAGAGCGCTAAGGAGAGAGTAAGTACGTATGTATACAGGAAGGCTTTTGTCTATCGAGTGGGTACACTTGGCCCGAATTCACAGCTTCAAATCCAGAGCTGCAGATAGATGATAGACAAACCGAGTTATATGCACATACATATTCTTTTTGACATCTCTTTTAATTTTCATACTTATGACAATAGGTACTGATAGATCCATTATGCCTCGAGCGAATAATTGGTTTGATTGTTTGCTTTTTTTTATTTATTGTACATGATCGACTTTTGCACGATTAATAGGAACCACGTTGTAGAACTTATTATTATGATACTTTCAAATACGTGTTTTTATTGTTGCTTTGATGATTTTTTTTTTATTTATTCGCACTTTTTTTAAATCTCTTTTTACTCACGTTACGGATATTTATTGTATTTTTCTTTTTTTTCTACTTTGAAAATCCAACAACTCTTTTTTCATCTGAAAAATGGTATTTTTTATTTTTCAATCAACATCCTTAAAGAAAGTGCTTTTTTTACTGGAATCCACTATTTTCCTGAACAATTGTCAAACGTGTCAACCTATAAAACAATACTTTTCCATCGAAGTAAAAAAAAAAAAAAAAAAAACTGAGCAGAAGCCGAAATCATCTGTTATTCTAAGATTCTACTGATAACATAAAGAACTGAAATAACGTTTCTTCACGCGCTGTAGATTCCAGATTTTATATGCACATACATACTAAGTCTTCTTCTCAACTGTAATGTTTAAATGCTAACTGAGCGAATAACCAGATTAAATACACGTGATAAAAATGTATTTACTTATATTCATCACCGACAAACTTTAAAGTTCAATTTTCATGCTTCATTTGAAATAAAATTTGTGTAAGGAATTTATTATGTCATGAAAATAACAACTTTCAAATAAATTACAAAATCACAGTAAAAATAACAAGAAAGAAGATATCAATCATCAAGAAAATTATTGAGCTTTTGTTTTTAAATTTGGCGCTTCGATTGCAACGACATCAAGTGGTCAAGTTGCGCAACTATTTATTCAAACTCGTGCTTCTCGGAGTTCTCTCGGATTCTCTCTCGGCTAGGCTCCTACTCTTCCTGAGTAATTATTAAATACAAAAACAGAAATTTGTATTAGATAATAATATTATAATTGCTATTGCTATAGTCGTGCATTGTTATCTAATTTATATACTAATAATAGCACTTTTAAACGGAAAGTCCAAATCTCAGAAATGTCTATCGGAAAATCGTTTCGAGTACTGATGAATGATTTTTTAATCATGCACACATAACGAAATAACAGCTCGTATCTACCTAAGAAACGAATAATCAATTGTAACTTACATAAATGATAATCAAGTATACATACATAAGCTTTTTGCAACACACAATAACAACTTGTTTTGCGTATAATAACCCGAAAGAAAAAAAATGGAGACAAAAGCTTGATACTTACATGCTTCTCGCATTTTTTTTCCTCGCGGTGTCCAAATCCAATAAAGCTGTTTTTTTTTTTATCTGTAAAAACATCTGGCCGAAAAGAGATGGATGCAATAAGGATAAAAACAAAAACAGACTAGCAATAAAAAAATGAAAAAAAAATCTCCTAGACAAACAACATTGATTAAATTTTCTCGTATGAATCATATAAAGGAAGAAAAAAAAAATGTTACAGCAGCAGAGAAGAAAATAGAGTTTTGAGAAAAATCGATTAATCACTATAATCACTATACGGCCGTGTCTCGTATGATAGATAATATACTTTTCGCCTATGTGTTTACGTTTGTCTTTGATGTCATATTTGCGGTTTACGTAAGCAAATATTTTAATTTATCCGTGGTCATCTTTTAATGGATAAAAAACGCGTCAGAACTCAGATTACTCAGAACAGTCATCGGAACCGTAGAGACAGATTTGTTTGATGTATAGATGTTATGTTTTGTATGTTACATACGTATACAATATACGTGCGGTAAGTTGCAGTCCAGAGCGATAGGTACTGAAAACTGAAACACACCCATTTTTGTCGCTGTTATTTTTACCAATAGAGCTGATTTTTTTTTCAACTTAAAATTATCTTGCTTCCCTGAAATGTTAAAAGAGTCGTTTGTAAGTTGTTAGTATATAGCGTATATATTAGTCTCGTTTTAAAAAAACTAGCTTCTATAAACTTGAACTAGTTGAACCAGCTCTACCTCACACTACCTTACCAACAGCTGTTATTATTTTATCGATCGCGTGACCAATCCTCCAATACAAGCAAAACATGAACCTGTATTTACAAATCGACATTGATGCATGCACACTTGCATCTCGTCTTACCTCATATACTCACAATTATTCATACATCAGGTCTTGTTTTTCATTGCAAAAGAACGTCAAATGTAAATCCGATGGACGATAAGCATATTTTATTTCTCATCCTCAACATCTTCAGTCTGCTTCCCGTAAATAGTCACTGTCATTGTTGTTAAGTATAAATATATATAACTGCCGTTGTTATTGTTTTTGTTCCTGGCTGAGTTGTCAGGCCAGACTCAGCGATCTCGTCGAAGTTTGCTCTGCACTCGGATTTCTCGGAAAAGACATGAACGCCCATGATGGAGGTATGTATGTGCATACATACAACGATACGACTATTATTCGCACGTCTTGATTGTTAAAAAGTTTTATTTATACTCACCAACATTGGGCTGTATACTTATACACAAATCGCGTAAAATGCATCAATGCACATTTCAAATGCAAAGACAACGTTTACGTTGTATCTATTATTTTCTCTCCTTGTTTACTTTCATAACTTTTTGCACACTCCTTGTCTTGTTTAAACATATTTTCATGCACGGCTACTTTTCACTTTTTTTCAGTCATATAATAGACTCCTATCACTGTATCGAAACCATAATTTTTTTTTACTCTTACAAACACAAAGATATATAATTCTTGTCTGTATGTTTGCTAATGATGGATATTGGAAATTGGATACATCCTTGACCAACACACACTATAATACATACACATGACAGTCTTATCTTTGATAAGAGGTTTCTACTTCTCTTTCTCTGTTTCTGTACATATCTAATCTAAAATACTTATTATGTGCGGAGGAGCAAATTCGCGTTTTGGCCTTGGATCTTGATCGAGCCTTGATCAGTTCATCAAAACAAGTACTCTGTATGCTGCGAGTTCTGTCTCGCTAATTTAAACGTCGATTAAACGTTTTACATAAGTTTTGGTCGATTTTTATCTCATTTAGTCCGTTGTCAATGCAATCAAGGTTCAATGCAATTGTTTGAAAAATCGTGCTTGCATACCTACAAGTATTAGTATCTATGTATGATGTCATGCAGTGATTTTTTTTTTATCAAGTAACCGAACAGTGTAACTGCAGCATGCAATGGACTTCATGCATAATCAAGCATCGTTTGTGAGTTGTAACTGATAAAAATGTTGTTTGCTCGATAAAAAAAGCAATTCCTCTCATTCACTGTTAATTGGATGACAATGATTTGGTACCCATCTCTCAAATGTAATAGATACTAAATTACAATGAATTTCGTTATATTATCTTGCACAAATTAAGTTACTCTGATTGAAGTGTATTTATTGGAAAACAATACTTGCTCATGTAATTTGCTTCTATCTAAAGTTACCAACTCAAAACCAGTTTCTATTAATCAATACCCTTCGTTAAGATAAATTTGTTATGTAGTACTCTTCTTTTTCACATTTCGTTTCAAAAAAAAATATTACATAATAGGAGATTTTAATGTTGGTACAATTATCAAAATTATGAAAAAACTTAATTTTACAATTGCGCAAATAACTTTGAAAAATGTAAACAAGGTCGTTTAAAAATAAATTGAAATGTTTTTTGTGCAGGTTGTGGAGCTGATCAACAACTTTGACTACAGCTTTGGCTCCTATGCGTTTTCAAGATGGATAGAACACTTAATTATAGAGTATCAAACTTCAAAGACACTGCTAGCAGTGTCTATCGGTATTCTGTTGACAATCTTGGCTGTGTCAATCTATATTCTTCGAAAATGGAAGACCAAAGAACTTTTGCCACAGGTCAGAGAATTTGTGGGTGTAGGCACGGGAAGGCCAAGGTTCAGAAAGCGAGACAAAATGCTGTATTACGGCAGAAAAATGCTCAGAAAGGTGAAATCCATAAGTGGCCAAGTGCACAGTGCGGGCCAAGGAAAAAAGAGAAGAGCTGTCATGAGATTTGCCAGACGGCTTTTGCAGTTAAAAAAAGAAAACACTCCTCAGCAGTTGAAAGTACTGGAGCCACCTGCAGAGTATTTAGAAGAAGAAATAGGCACTGGAAACAGAGTGCCACCGGATGCGCTCTACATACTGCAGAGCATACGAGTGTTTGGTCATTTTGAAAAGCCAGTATTTCTGAAGCTGTGCAAGCACACTGAAATTATAAATTTGCCAGCAGGAAATCAGTTATTCAAAATCGGAGATCCAGATGAGAATGTGTTTATTGTTCAACAGGGTTTAGTTAATGTTTACATAACAGGTCCAGATGGATCTCAGATCTCACTGAAGCTCGTAAAAACTGGGGAATCTGTTACTAGTCTTTTAAGTTTTACCGATGTATTAACTGGTCACGTGAGCACGTATAAAACAGTAGCCGCACGAGCCGTAGAAAATTCTATTGTTGTAAAATTGCCGATGAACGCCTTTCAAGAAGTCAGTAGGAATAGCCAAAAATATGCTTAAATGCGTGCATTGCTTAAAATCATAATTATTGTAATATTTTCTTTAATTTTTAGGTTTTCCAAGATCATCCAGATGCATTTGTTCGAGTCATTCAGGTCATCATGGTCAGATTACAACGTGTCACATTTACAGCACTGCATCAATACTTGGGTCTCTCGGCGGAATTAGTTAACCAAGGTTCATACAAAAAGAAGCACAGTTCGGTCATGGGTTCTCCAGTTAGATCAAGAACCCGCGACAATTTTAACGCGTCTGATAATCTTACTAGTTCGTATTCAGCAACTACCGACCAACAACCAGACATTACTCTGCGTGAGTACAACGTTGGCATGTCTCAACCTGTCCCAATAATGTCATCTCGAAGGTTAATATATATTTTGTCTTACAGGAGCTTGAAACTTTTTTAAACTATAATATGTCATAATGCTATCTTGTACTTTTGTCAGATCGAAAACAAATTTAGAAATGAAGAGTTCAACCCCAGGTTCGCATGCTACCCAGTACACTCCCGAGAATCCCGAAAGCGAATCTGTCTGGCCGGGTTCTAATCAGCCTCCCTCACAGCACGGTGTCGAGCCATCGGACAGCGGTGGTCCTGGAACACACTCTGGTAGTGCCAGTCGAAAACACTCGAAAATCGAGGGCCCTCAGCAGCACCTGGATGAGGCTCAAGTTGTTCAAATTGCCACCGAAGCTTTTGTAAAAGAGCTAGGACTAGAAGACGATACACTTCTTAAAAGTGGCAAGGTTCAGATACGCGAAGTCCTCGGTGGTACTTATCTGATGAAGGAGGAATCTCACAAAGTAATTTTTCTTCCATTCAAAAATTATTGACAGATATCACAGTGGTATTTGTAAAAAATACAACTGCAAACCGAGTGTTTCACAAAGTCTATAATAGTAAATAATTAACGATCTGATTTTCAGGATGTAGCACTGGTTTACGTTGTGTCGGGATCCTTGATAATCAGTCAACGCTCTTCCGAGGGCCGCGACGGCGAAGATGTACACATGTTCAGTGCTCATCAAGGTGAAATCGTAGGCGGACTAGCCGTACTGACGGGCGAGCCATCGTTTTATACAATCAGAGCAAAACACTCGAGTCGCATAGCACTGCTTAGCAAATCCACGTTTTTTTCGATCATGCGCGAGAGGCCCACCGTTGTATTACACATTGCCAAGACCGTCGTACGACGGTTGAGCCCGTTTGTTAGACAGGTAACCAAATAACAGTCTTTTTTTCGCGATAACGCTTAATTTCCTTTTCATTGAGATAAAATCATTCAATTTTTCAGGTCGATTTTGCCCTCGACTGGCTGTTTTTGGAAAGCGGAAGAGCAGTTTATCGCCAAGGTGATGAGTCTGACTCAACGTTCATAGTTTTAAGTGGTCGCTTGAGATCGGTAATTACGTACGAAAACGGAAAAAAAGAGGTGGTCGCCGAATACGGTAAAGGTGACCTGGTTGGCATCGTCGAGATGGTAACGCAGACTCAGCGATCTACCACTGTCATGGCAGTCCGTGACTCTGAGCTGGCAAAGCTACCCGAGGGTCTTTTTAATGTCATCAAGCTCCGGTATCCCATTGTTGTGACAAGGCTGATTAATTTACTTGGTCACCGTTTGTTGGGCACATGGAAGCAATCGCGACCGCAAAATGGGTCTTGTGACGGAAGGTACGTGCAAATACTTACCACGCAAACTGTTTTTTTTTTTTTTTTTATCTCAGTGAAGTTAAAGGCTCCAGTTTTAATTTCAAACATTTCAGGCAAACAGCCCTAGATGCTCGACCAGCACAAGTTAATTTTTCAACAGTTGCCATTGTTCCCATCTCGGATGACGTTCCACTGACGGCATTTACTTACGAGCTGTACCACTCTTTGTGTGCCATTGGTTCTACCGCCCGACTAACTTCCGACGTTGTACGAAAAGTAAGTGTACCGTTTAAAGGTCTTTGAAAATCTAAGATTTAACGTATCTAACCGAAGTATCTTAATTCTTTAGACATTAGGGGCAACCATCATGGAACCAATGAACGAATATCGACTAACGTCATGGCTGGCGCAGCAAGAAGACCAGCATCGCATAACGCTCTATCAGTGCGACTCGAGTTACACCATGTGGACGCAACGTTGCATTCGCCAAGCCGATTGTATTCTCATCGTTGGTCTAGGTGACAGACCGCCTTCGCTTGGTCGCACGGAACGCGAGTTCGAACGTCTGGCCATGCGAACGCAGAAGGAGTTGGTGCTGCTGCACAAAGAACAAGGTGGACGAAAACCTACCAATACCGTTCAATGGCTCAACATGAGGTCCTGGGTTTCGAGTCATCATCACATCCAGTGCCCTAAACGCATGTTTACGAGAAAATCGCAGTATCGAATTGTGAGTAATGGACTTGTAGTACCTATTTCGGGACACAAGAGATCCATTTGGATCATTATTATTCGTTTCAAATTGTTTTATTCCAGAACGAGCTGTACTCAAAGGTCCTCATGTCAGAGCCGAACGTACACAGTGACTTTAGTAGACTGGCGCGCTGGCTTACCGGCACGTCGGTAGGTCTCGTATTGGGTGGTGGTGGAGCTCGAGGTGCAGCTCATGTGGGAATGCTTAAAGCCATCATCGAGGCTGGCATTCCTATTGATATGGTTGGGGGCGTGAGCATAGGAGCCTTCATGGGTGCACTTTGGTGTATGGAAAAAAATATCACGACAGTCACGCAGAAAGCTCGCGAATGGTCACAGGTATAATTTTACTTAGATAAATTGGAAAAAATTTTATCTATATTCTTTGCTTAAAAAATCCTATGACTTGAAAGTAGTTGACCTCCGTCGTAAATCTTATATATTATTAATTAATGCGACAATGTCGATCGTAGAAAATGACTCAATGGTGGAGGCAAATTTTGGATCTCACGTATCCCATGACATCGATGTTTTCTGGCAAAGATTTCAATAATACGATCCACAGCACATTTGGGGACGTGTACATCGAAGACTTGTGGCTTCCTTATTTTACAATAACCACTGACATAACTGCTTCTTGTATGCGTACGCACACACACGGTCTGTAAAGTTGATATAACCATTGCTTTGATTTTCGTGAAAATTCTAAAGATATAACAAAATTTTTTTTTTTTAATTTTTTTTTATAAAAAAGCAAAATCCTAAGACTCGGCAAACATTGATTTACCGACTCTCTGACGTTGAGAAATTCAATACCAACGTTGTAACTTAAGCCGTTATTCCTCGTTTTTGCACTAATACGTAGTTGCTTTTTTTTTTTTTAATAGATTGCTTTTATAAGAGCGGGAGTGAGCTGTGTGAACAAAAAAAATACATATAGATGTTATTGACGTACTCTCCGTTTCTTGATTCAGTCTTTCAAAGCGAAAAAACAAATTTTGTTTGAATTCACATGAATTTCATGTTACACTTACTTTACTTGATTTTTAAAGAGTTTATCCTTCCTGCTCTCTATTAAAAAATTTAATTTTTTGAACAAAACAATCTTAGAATTTGATACTTGCCAAGCACGTGTATCATGTATCAGCCTCGAAGCGCTGTTATAGCTATATGATTAAGACTGCAGGAAGGCCATCGTGGATCGAAACGTAATAAATAATTATGTAGAAAAAAAAAGTGCACAAATAGGAAAACGATGACGATCTGTGTATAGCTGCATAATAAGAGGGAAGCAAACAGAAATAGTCAAATAATGAAGTGTCGACGTGTTTAGGATCGCTTTGGCGTTACATACGTGGTTCGATGTCTTTGTCCGGTTATATGCCGCCAATGTGCGACCCAACCGATGGCCACCTTCTCCTCGATGGCGGGTACGTCAATAACCTCCCAGGTAATTTGAATTGTGCAACAAAAATTAATTACATAATTACATACTGATAGCTTGATTACAACGCTTTTTTTAAATCCTTTTTTGCTTTTATTGTTGATTGTTACACGTAATTTTTCTATTTTTACCTTGTTTCATCCTGCATTGAAAATTTTTTTCATTTCTGCAATGATTTTACTCTTTTTCTTTATGGTAAAGAAAGTAATTAAAAATTGTACAAAACACATTACCAGCTTCGTTTGAAAGACTGTTAAATGTTATATTTATTGAGTATTTGTTTTTTTTGTTTTTTTTCAAAACTTCATGTGTTTTCCAAGATAAATTTAACAGTCTTGATGACACTATAAATAGCTAGAAGTATCATAAAATTTTATGTGTTTGCTATCACATCAATTAAACGTAGAGTAAAGTTTAAACACTAGATCGAAATACTTCCTGCTTCCTTGTAGTGTATAGTAAAATTTTAAAAATGAAAAAATGAAAACGCCATGCTCGCTCCCGTTGATAGAAAAATTCATTGTAAACGTAATGTAAACAATATTAGTTTGCCTATAAAAATTAGGCTTACTTTGGAAGTACACTCGAGCCAGCATGACCTTCGCCGGTGTTTACCCACCGATGTGCGATCCTATTGATGGGCATCTTTTGGTCGACGGGTGTTACGTTAATAACGTTCCAGGTATGCGTTTTACGCGGTTACATTTTCTATTTATCCGAAATTAAGATACACTAAACTTCTTAACGTCTACTAAACTTTTTTTTTTAAACTGTATTATTAAGAAACAAACTTTCAAACGCGTTGTTTTTCTTATCTTAGTGATTCTATTCCTTCTTTAAAATGAAATAAATTTACAGTTTTACTACATCCAGCTATTATTGTTGATGGTGGTGTGTTTAATGAAAGTAAAAAAGGGAACAAAAGATCGACAAAGGCCAACATTTATTCAACATAAAATGAAATCGAGTTAAAATTTGCATGCCATTTGAACCGGAAAATTTCGGAAAGTTATGAATACAAAATATTTCAAAATCACTGCTTTTGAAAACCGAAAAAATTTATCCGCAAAGAATTTCCAAGCGCACGCATTGTCATGTCAACACGCCAAAATTGTAAACTGCTAGACGATTAAATTTTCAGAAATTTTTTTTCTCGATCAAAGTGCTAGAATTTTTTTTGCAGTTTTCCCAAGCTTTGAATCAAGCTAGTTAGCTTAAAAAAAAAAAAAAAAAAAAAAAAACAAGGCAGTTGCTATCTTACACTGTATTTCATTGGCTTGTCCCCATAATCGATCTTGAAAGCTGACGAGATGCTGAGACAAGGTGCACAACACATCCTAGCCATCGATGTTGGGTCGCAAGACGACACCGACCTCACGAACTACGGGGATTCGCTGTCGGGCTGGTGGCTACTATGGAAGCGCTGGAATCCGTTCGCCGAGCCGGTCAAGGTGCCAAATCTGCCTGACATACAGTCCCGACTGGCTTACGTCAGCTGTGTACGGCAGCTCGAGGAGGTCAAAAACTCGGATTACTGTGAATACATCAGGCCACCCATCGACAGGTACAAGACCCTGCAATTTGCCAATTTCGATGAGATCAAGGATGTTGGCTACAATCACGGTAAGTTTAGCCCGTTCACTTGTAATAAAAAGTCAGATTTTGCACGTGTCTATTTCGCATTCGTGTATTTATAAAACTTTTTTTTTTTTTTTACTGTAAATAAAAAATATGCGACGAACAAAAACAGCCAACTTGATCAAATGTAATGTTTTCAGGCAAAACTTACTTTGAAGGGCAAACGAAGGTAGGAATTTTACCACGATTCCATGCGGACCGAGAAAAGGCAAAACTGTTGAGAGCCAAATCACTGGCTGCAAGTCAGCAGCAGGCCCCTTCGTCGTACACCTTCACTGATCTGGCACAAATGGTTTGCAAAGTATCACTTTGTAACCGCTATCCGGACTTGGACTCCGACTCTGACGGAATGGAAGAGTACGAGGCTGATCTGGAAGAAGACGCACATGAAGTTGGATACGCTTCCGAACCTACTGTTGGCGTTTCGGATCAAGTATTATTTAATTTTATTTCACTACATGAAATTTTTTTTTAATTTTTTTTTTCCCCCTCGCTATGTTTTTTTGCACAAGCAGGGCAGGCACGATTTTGCGCTAGAGTGACCCCGCCTTCTCCTTCTTCGCCACTTTTCTTTTGCTATGCCATTGCTGCCAGCCGGGAGAGATTACGGCCTTGTGTAAGTATACGTATACACGAGCTCGTTTTTTTCTCGTCAGCCCGAAGCGCTAGTGTGAGTCGGTNATTTTAGAATTTTATAATTATAAGAATAAAATAACAAAAGAAGTTACATTTATTATTTAAAAAAGTTTTTTTTACACACCTATTCTCCTCCACCTTTTCATGTTAACAGAAAAAGAAAAATAGTATTTTCCAATCAAGTGTCACAAACTTATACCTGTATGACAGTACATAAGACACATGGAAAATTTAGTGAAAATGAATTGAAATATGCAGTGATTTTAGTACTCCTGAAATTCATAATCTGACATAATGATTTAAACTATTTAATGTTCTACTTGAATGATTATGTACATTATGATTTTCATGTAAAACTATAGTACACATCAATAATAACCGTAGGTAATGGATAAAACTATTGTTACGTGGGATTCTCGGTGCGGGAATAAATAGAAGCACGATACGTACGATAGCATAGCTATATGCTATCGTACGTAACACTATCTACAAATGTAAAAATTTATTTAGCACTGTAACGTTGAAGATCTTATCAATAGTAACATTATACTCCAAATTCTTAGCTACATACAAGTGTTGCTTATTTTTATTTCTAATAATAACCGATATTTACAGCAATACACGTGTAATCAAGCAACATGTTGTTAATTATAGTATTTACATAAATATAAAAATATAAAACAACTGCCATAATCAAAAATTCGTAGACATGATTAATTCCGGATCGACGATAGACAAGAGTGCGCCCACCAGATGCAAAGATCCAGTGACCAGCAGCTGTGGCTTATAACTTTCCGCACTTGTTTTATGAACTTGGTCATCATTCCTGATCTGCATGAGTGCGTCGAACACACTGTTGGATAATACTGAATCGTCACCCCAAAATTCGGCGTGAAATCGGCACTTTTCCATTTGTTTGGTGATAGGCATATTGTAATTCTCTTGATCTACCGAGGCAAGGTGACCAGCAACATTTGGCACGAAGAAGGCTTTTCTAAATCCCAAACATTTCAGAGGCGCTAGTAATTTAGCCGAGTCTCTGTCGCCCGTACTGTTAAACATGAGGTACCTTCTATTTCGCCTGCAAAATCAAAATTATCGTAGTACAGTTATTATATACCAACATACATCGAATTACAATATTTATAACAAAATTGATTGTACAAACCGAGGATCTTTGACGATACTTTGAAACCATGTGACGCAACACTCAATGCTTTCTTCGGTGTGAGCCCCGTCAACGTAAAAATCAATCGTCCTTCCCGGCAAGTACTGCGTACGACCAGGCCACTTGCACGACTCAAGTGCCGTGGCAACCTTCGCAAAGCACAAGCTTGATTTTTTCTGAGGTGTCTCATCGGTTGCAACGTACTTGCCGTTGAGCCGTGTGCCGATTTTGTTTTCCGCGCTCCCAAGAACACTCAAGCGTCTACCGTTGCGTCCGTGGCGCGCGAGCCAGGTAGAAGCCAGCTGGATGGCCAACGAGGCGTTCTCCTTCTGCACGTCGCTCCGAATACCTGCTTACCTCGAACAAACGTTATTTTCTACAATTCTCCACCAATAATGGGATTCATTAGATTTAAAAAGCGTACCTAATGTCGGCACAGACTTTCGCCAAGGATAGCTGTCAAGACTGGGCACTTGGCTGAGCGTGCAATTTCTCTCCCGTGCCCGACTTAGCAGCACATCCATTGCCTCCCTGGACTGAATAACTGTGAATGCTAGAGCCCCGGGTTTGAAGATGCCCGATTTTTGGTAAGCTATTGCCTCGATCGTGTCACCCAGAAGCGAGGTGTGATCCAAAGCGAGGCTCGTTACGCCCGCGCACACGGTGTTGGTGACGATGTTCGTGCAATCGTGTTCCCCGCCGATACCGACCTCGAGGAGAAATTATTATCATTATTATTTTTTCATCCACTGCAATAAATTAAAATCCACAAGTACGTGCAAGTGAAAAGCCAACTATTATATAATTCCGATTTTTAACAGCCAAATAAACATCCAGTAGGATCGGAAAATCGACTTTGGAAGTTCTTTTGGTATTTGATGATTTACATGATGCAGTATAGATCAGAAGCTCCACGAAGGACGAATTTTACACCTGATGTTTAAAAAAAAAAATAAATAAATAAAAAGAAAGAAGGAATTCGAGATGTGTACCTACTTTTTGTTTTCCTTCCTGCAGATATACATGCACTGATTGTTGAGTTTTCAGGTAATTTGTACGAAAGCAAGTATTATTTAAGCTGATCGGATCGGATGATGTATATATTTAATGTTTGCGTAGAATAATCGTACTTATATTGAACCAACCTCGAGAATGGCAACATCAACGTTAGCCTTGACGAACATGTGGAACATGAGAATGGTGAGAAACTTGAAGTACTGGGGCATGTCCTGTTCGTCATCTTTGAGCCGATCTAGGGTACCGAAGACGTGCCAAAAGTGCCGGCTGAAGTCGAGCTCGCCGATCGGTTGGCCGTTGATGCGAATGCGCTCGCGCACCGATACCAAATGGGGCGAGCTGTAAAAACCCGTGCGAAAACCGTGCTCCCGTAGTATTGCCTCGACGAAGGCGCAGCACGAGCCCTTGCCCTTGGTGCCGGCCACGTGGATCACCGACAGGCTCTCCAACTGTTCCAAGCTCAGACCTGACCTTCAGTTTGTACATACATTTTTTTCTCCAGTTATATACACATATTGTGTACACATATATACACGCTCAAAGTGACACATTATCGTGCGCGAAAATAATCACTAGCTTCGCGTCTCGTGCACACGTCATGTTATAGTATAATAAAATGTACATAGCGATATAAACGTGTAAATTGTTTATCCATAGATAACAAGTAAAATAAATAAATGGACGCCGTACGCAACGTTGTAAATGCGTATGTTGTTTCGCGTGTTCAGTTCAAACGTACACACTTGTTATGTCAATCGACATATATGTATACAAAATATAGATAAGTACAGTTTACCATACACTTACCGGATCAAGTACTTCTCGGTGTCTTGCAAAGTGGTGTTGGGCGTCGTTGCATTTCGTTTCCTCGCGTTTATGTAAGCCGCGTTACTCTGCAAGCTGTTCAGCGATTTCACCGTGTCCTACAATTTGAAAGCACAACGTACATGAATGAACTTTATACTTACAACTCGAAGCCCCCCGCTTATTCGTTTTCCTTCTCCTCAGTTTAAAAAAAAAAAAAAAAAGAAGAATTTTTTTTTTTTTTGCATTTTTACAACTGCGTAGGTATACGACTTGCCGTTGGTAACTTTGACATTAATTTGTTTATCACTTTACACGACATGTTTATTTTTACGTGATCCAACAGCTGTAGCCATGAAGCAGCGATACCATACTTTCGAGTGAATTCAAAAAAACTGACGCTACTCGAACATACGCACACGCACGTATTGTGCGACAGATAAGTATCGTTTTATCTATAAATTGCGACTCCTGACTTGTAAACATTTGCAAATACATACACGTATCTTTGTATAGCTGGTGTGTGTACATTACCATGATAACCATGCGACAGAAAGCAAGTGGTTAAATAATCGGTATGGAGAACGTAAATACAAAAATTAAATCGTTCGAATCGCGCAGTACTAAGTGTCACTTGAGGATGCAATGTAACGACTGATGCAAATTGCACTCTTTTGATAGACGATCGTGAGCTAATATCTTGCTTATCTCGCCGAGTTTTGTGCATTTATTATACGTGTACATGATGCGTTGTTTCTTCCGAAAGTGTGATTAAGTGACGCGTGCACACACGAGTCACCTTCTCTATGAGGAAATATGGGTCATTTTACGAAAATCGGTACGAGGGTTGACATGGACAGGGTAAAAAGGTTTCTCTTTTTTTTTTTTTATTGTTCGTTACCAAAACAAGTTGTCATTTTCGCTGTGATATAAATTTCATCAAGTTTTGGGGCCATCGCGTGAACAGTTTCCACGCCTTTGAAAGTTTTTTTTTTTTTATTTTTCTAAAATAATTCAAAATATTATTTAGGTCCATTCTTTTCAGACACAATGGCGCAAAAAACATTAAAAATACGCGTTTTTCTTACATAGGCGTCGAACACGTGACGCCGCTTAACAGCCCATTTTCCATTTCAAACAAAAGCAGTCATTTTCTTCGTGATTCAATTTTCGCTGTAACTACAGCAGATAATTGCTCATAGTAACATTACTCGGTATTGTTGAAGAAAGTTTTTGAAACCAAGACTCTGGGACAGGGAAAATTCCGTCTTGTGTAAAATGATCCGTATATATATATATATAGTGTTGCGAATGTACATGTTTGATTTTTCCGGGACCGATAAATCCCATCGACACGACACATAGAGATCGATTGCGTCATTGCGCGTGTACGTAAGCGAATATTTGATATAAAACGCACATGCCAAGTCGACTAAAACAGAACTATACACGTACTGAAAAAAAAAAAAAAAAAAAAAATGACAAATGATGATAAACGCTCACCTCGTACCCGGGACTGACAGTAGGTAGTTTGGTCGTAGGCATCAGACTTCGTTGGCTGTACATTTTCCAAGCACCAAGACCTAGCGCGCACAGAGCATCGAAGGTGCGTTGAGATCGGCAACAGGTAGTGACTGGCGACCGCATGCGATCGGTCCGCGACGATCGTCGATGAAACCGGTTCGCCGCTTCAGTGCGTGCAACGAGCAAAAATATCATACGTTGCACGTTCAGATTAGATGTACTTATATCATTACCTACTCGCGTTACAACTTTTTTCGTTTAGGTGTGTACATACATACACGTACATCTAATTGGCTATAACTATTATTATATCGATTATACCTTTGGAAATGTCTCAATAATAATTAAAAAAAAAAAAAAAATTCTATTAATGAACCGAATGTGAATACCTCAAAGCGATTTTATTTTTTTACATCCTTTTTTTTCCTTATAAATCTTAATTGTCATTGATCATTTATTCTGATTTATTTGTTCTGTGACTGATCGAGACGGGTTTCGGTCGCGTAAATTTAAAAATGAGATTAAATAATATGAGTAGTTTAAGCTTTTGCATTGAGTAAAAATCCAAACCATACGTTTTACAGTAGCAAATTGTTCAATTGTTCTAACCAATTCGGGAAATTAAATATTCGTAATTAACTGAGAAGGGGTTGGCGCGCGAAACCCCTAGAATANTTGACATAACTGTGTACTTTTTTTTCGTAACGATTCTCTTAATCAAAATGTAATAAAAATAATTAATGGCTTTACAAAGTGTTGTTCACTCCGTTATTCACCATCAGACCATAATGTAAGGTGTAAACTGCAATGTTGCTCTTTATTACAATGGATTCAAAATTTTTTACATGAAATGATATTTGAAACTCCTTTGAATGTTATGGACGTAAATACTAGTTATACATTGAAACAAAAATCAAAAATCAATATTAAATTATGACAATATTAAAAATGAAACAAAAAAACATTTACAATAAAATGTCTCGATAAAGCTCAATACGAAACTTGTGGTCTGGTGATGCTGGCTGCACCCTTAATACACAACTAAATAATAAAAACTATCCGTCTACAAGAGGTATCAAATAATCATGAGACGACACGCAGAATGATAAACATTGTGATGAACAATGCACTTCGTGCGCTCAAGTATGTATACAAATTCGTATATCCTTTGCTCGCTTGACCAAAGCAGCACCGGCTTTATACGCGAGAGATCTGTTACTAAAAAGAAAATGAAAAGGATGAAGAAAAAAAATTAAAGAAAACAACGAACAAGAGACACGATATCTTTCACTGTCAATATACTTAATGTTACATACGTTTAGGCTTGGGTTTTCACCAAAGCCCTTTTTATTTATCGAAATTATGTACTAACTCGATGTAGCACACGCCTTGTGATTCATTCTTTGTTTCATTATAATATATTTGCTTCTCACCACGAAAAACGCGAGCTCGTTCTTACACCAACAACGATCGGCTCGACGAGAGCAGCAGGGCTGGGAGAGATGGGTGAAATCTTTGTCATACACGGAGACACGCGAGTTGCATCGATGATATATATATTTATAATCGTAAAATTAAATTACCCGTAAAAGTATTATACTTAAGTATACCCTTACTAAGATAATCAATGTATTTCTTGGGTCTCCGTTAAAAACACAACATAATTTTTTTATTCATATTTTGTAAATATTTTATAACTTTTATAATAGACGAAATTTGTTAATTGGTTCTGATCTCTTAGAATGAAGCATAATAATTACATTTATAGATTTTTCCATGTGTATGCTTTTAACTTAGTTTATCTAAAATGATAGAACTTTTTAAACTGTTGTTTAGTTACGTAAGTCAAAACCATACTTGTAGGCTTTACTTTACTGCAATTGCATAATTGTGTGTCTTTATGTTGAATTATAAAAGAGACAGTTAGTATTGTAGTATAAGTGTGTACAACTAGTTCAAGTGCATGTAATAAAAAGGGATACCTGGAATTTGTAACAAAAATTTATAAATATACCTTTTCATTGATGAATATATTTATTAAGTAATTAAATGAGTCTTCTTTTTTTCCGTTTTGTTTCAGTGGCCATTGATTTAATTGTCCAGCACATAAAAGATTTTCTAAGCAACCGCGGTAGGGAAATTATGGAACCTGAAAGTCCTATACGTTCTGATGGAACATTGAAGAGACCACATTGATGTTGCTATAAAAAAAAAAATGTTTAAATGCGCAAAAGCTTACATAGAACGATTGAAGAAAAAAAAAAAGAAAAAAAAAAAGACCTCTCTCTTTCTCAATCGAGNATCAGATATACATCATATATATAAATTTTTTTTATATTATAGTGCTCTACGTCCGGCTCCTTTAATAAGGGCACTACTATGGGCACTTAGCACTGGGGAAAGAGACAAGGAAAGGGATGGGAGGGGGGTAGGGGGAAATTAGGCAATTTTTGCTGCGAGAAGATTGCCTAGACCCTCCTCGAGGAGCATTGCGTGGTGAAAAAGCACATGTGAGAGTGAGACTTACAGAGGTACTTGCCCGAAAGTCGCACTGGCGGGGAATCGAACCACGGTTTCCCGCGTGCCATTCCACGACCTATTAGCTATTAGCCGACTGAGCCACCGCGCGCTCCTAGAATATATATATATGTACAACAAAAATGAGTGCAGACGTACCTATATGTATATCATTCAAACAAACATGGATCATTGCCCACGTGGTCACATGCACAGTTGAATTGTAATGTAAGACACATCATCGTCTAGATTGAAATACTATTGTTGAACCAGTACAATAAAATGACAATACGATTTTGAGTCATTAAATTTATAAATTCTGTACCCAAAGTGGCCTGATGAATATTTTTTCGATACTTTGATTTCGGAGCAGCTCGCACACGTGCGCATTCGACCAAATGGTGGAATGGTCGGGCCAATACACATGGCTTGTGATTGGTAAGTGGTGAACTATAGAAATGGTATGAAAGAAGAAAAAGCGCTAAAAGCATAGCAACGCTTTGAAAGAGTTCACTACACCACTATGGTGTTTGTATATGCGCATAGTGCTTCGTATTACCAGTCAATTGAATCGAACTCAATTAATATTAATTAATACCAATGATTAGTTAAAAGTGCAGGAGGTAAACTCACGAGCACTAATGTTAATATTATTGGGTTAGATTATGAAGCGATTGACTTATTTAAAAAAAAAAAAAACTAAAAAAACAGCAACATAGGTATATGGATACGTACGCGTGTATCCATACACGCATTGGCAGACGATTTCATATCGTTATCAACCAGTTTTTTTGTAAATTTTATCTATAGGTATACTAATACTCATGAAAAAATAATAGACCATTTTTTAGTATATTAAATTTCTCTTCTACAATACAACTTTTATTTGTATAAAAGTTATTACAACAATGATTTCGTGCCCAATTACTTAGGTAATCTATCTGCAACGTATAAATTTATATATCACGTTTTTAAATATCACGAGCGGGTTGACGTGCTCTAAAATTGTATCTTGGCAGTCGATAAGTAAAGCCGCGCTCTTATCAGAGTTTGATGATAATTGTGAAACTTTTAAATTTCTTACACGCCGGACCTCTGCCCCCTGCCAATCCCGCCGCCAACATTAAAAAAATATGCGTTCCACAGCTTACAGCTTACAGCTTCGTGCAGCAAAAAAATTTTCTCAAGATTTCTCGTAGACTTCTACATAATGTCCATTTCTTGAAATCTTGTGAAAATTTGTTTCCTCGTTAACTGGTTTATAACTACATTACTTTTAATTTATGGATATGGATTGGATATTAGTTTCTAACGTCATGGACAGTCAAACGATGCATTTTCCGTGGTTATCGGGTTATGGGTTATGTGGTTAAAAATGCATTATTTTTCAGTTCAGCGCACCGAAAGTAGAATGTTACCACCTATTTTTTTATGTTACACATAAAAGCTTTTAATATAAATATCTTTTTTTCAATATACAAACCAATTATCGCATTGAGCAGCAGCATCTTTATCAACTGTTTCCTGCAAGCAAAAAACAAGTCGCGCCTGACTTATTTATAACTTACAACCCACGCAAAAAAAATACACGACAATCCAGCCATAAATAGTATATTAAGTACTCGTATATCACTACACCACTCAGTACTCACTACTTTACGACTTTTACATGTGTGTGTTAATATATAGTTTAATAACTACGCGTTATTTACGTGTACAAGTATTGCAGAACTTACGAGAAGTATCAAGGTATTTAATAAGCAAGTACTCAAGTACTGATTTATATATTATATACATAAGTATAGAAATATATTCTCTCGTGGCTCTAGTCGGTGGTGGTTGACGTGGTAGTGCGGTAGTGTAATGCATAATGTGTGATAATTGTATACAAACTAATTTGTAATTAGTACAGTATACTGCAGTCTCTGTACGACAGTGCGTGTATCCCCTTGCAAAACGAATACAAAAAAAAAAAAAAAATACACGTGTAAGTAAATGTAGAGATAAAAAAAGAGGTGAACGCCATTCGTTCGAACTGCAGACTGCAGATCCAAGTGAGTGTGCGCGGCGTCAAAGTCAATTTCCTGTCCTGTGACTATATTTTTGCATATATTCAGTTTTCAGTCACTTTATCTCTCTCTGCACGTAACATAAAGATAAAAGGCACCGATTACACCAACACCATAGGTAGAAAGAGGTGCATCGGCGTGCAAAAAAAAAAAAAAAATCAATCGATCCCCCTCATGCTTGTATAGCCCTGACCTTAAGACCATCGTCTCACTGGTGGTGCATATAAATATATTATGCGACTGCTGTCAGCTGCAGCAGCAGTAATAGTCCGGACGGTTTCGCGAGCCCCCGTTGTCATGGCAGACGTTAGCATGAACACCTCAAACTTCAATGGTAAGATCAACGGTGTCGAGGGCAAGACTTTTCTGATCGGCGTGGCTGGTGGTACAGCCAGTGGAAAGGTACGTTGTTTTATCAGAAATAAATTACATTTGAGTTTAATCCATCGGGTGATTTTTGGCTTTCATGGGGTAGAGCGTATTAGTAATTTAGTTAAATTTATTCACAAGTGTACCCATATTCTCCATACTATTCTACAAAATGATTTTTTTTTATTTATTGACAGTACTTGAATTTATTTTTTATCGCGTGGTCATGGCATTGTTTTGTTTTGACTGATTTAAACAATTATTTATACATTATATTCATGTGTATAGATATGCCTATAAGTATTACACTTGAAAGTTATTTTGGTCTCACACGTTTGTTGCATGCATGCAACTAACAGTTTGATCATCAAAAATGTGGTAATGAAATATTTCATTCAAATATTTATATACCTCTGTCGGTGTCATTAGTAGTTGAAGTAATATTGTATTTATATACACAACGTTTGGTTGTATTGTACATGTGGCGAGATTTTAAAGCATGTTTTGTTAACATTCGCACATATTTTACAATACGTTTTTCCGCTGCATTTTTTGTTTAAATTACGCTCTGAAAAAAATGTTGATTTCACACCATATTTTTATCATAATNATCAATATTTTGTTTATATGCATAACCCTTCTGAACAAAAAACTCGAAAATAAACAAAGATTTCTCGTAGATATATTATTTATGACTTTCCAAGTTTGTACTTAAGCTTCAAAACAGATTACTCATCAGTTTTACAATGAAAGTTTGCAAAATTGTTTTAGTTAAATATAATATTAACCTATTGATAATCAGAAAATTTTTTAATTTTAATAGCAGATATTCATGTATCAAATAAATGTATTTTTTTACATTAGTCAACAGTATGTAAAAGGATTATGGAAAAACTTGGCCAAGTTGACAAGGATCACACAGAAAGACAAGTTGTATGCATATCTCAGGACAGTTTTTACAAAGATTTGACACCCGCGGAAAAAATAAAAGCCGAAAAGGGACAATATAATTTTGATCATCCAGATGCGTTTGACAATGATCTGATCCTCAAATCACTCCAAGATATCCTAGCAGGAAACAAATGTGAAATTCCAGCTTATGATTACAGGACAAACAGTATGTAAGTATTTATATGCTTGTTATATTAGATATTATTGGGGCCTTTAAGAAATGGACACTCAGGTTGACTATGCAGCTTTTTATTTGATTAAATAAGTTTAAACAAAAATTAATCAAAAAAATAATTAACATGACTGGAAACAATAGATATTACATGTCCCACGTCGATTCACGGCAACTGGAGCTGGAATCTAGAAACATAAAAAAAAGTTACATAAATTACAGTTCAACTCATTACATACAGAGAAATTAACACATTTTTAATGCATATTCCTTAGTACAACACATACTTTGTAGAAAAGTTTTGATCAGTTTGTAGTACTAAGTAGAAAAAAAAAAAATTACAGACTGAGAATATAGGCTCTTTTGTTGGATAAAGTAAAGATAAAAAAAGAAATCTCACCGGATTTGTATCGGTTAATGCACGAGGAACGTTAGATGATGTAGTAGGCTCTAGTTCTAAGTATCTGTTTTCAGAGTACACTTCTCTTCTTTGGTCAGGGATAAAGAATTGTGGCTCTTCGACAATTGGAGCTCGTGCTATATCCAAATGGTAAGTGGATGACATTGGCAGAGCAGGTGGTGATGAGTACTTTACTATTGTTGGGGTTGGGGCAGAGTCAACAAATTTAAGCCCTACATGAGGAGCCTGTGTCAGTACTGCTGATGGCTGATGCACTGGTAATGAGTACTGGGCTGCTGCTGGGATTGGGGCAGCGTTAACAAATTGAAGCTCTACAGGAGAAGCCTGTGCCGATACCGTAGGTGCCAGTTGCGGTTGTGATAACAGTCTTTGGATTATGAACGGTTGCCGTGGCAATTCGGGAGTAGTAGTTGTAGTTGGTTGTGGAGTCGTTGTTGGCGGGCAGGTGCAGTTGTGCCGTGGAAAACAAGCTTCGATGCCGTTGAAGCCATAGCTGAGCAAGAACAGAACTGCGAGGGTGGCGAGCACGTTATCGAATACCGATTTTCCGTTCATCTTCTTGTCCGTATGAATACACTTGACTGATGACTTCAGACTAAAATTACCAAAGGCGAACTTGTGCTCTGCTTGACGCGACTTTGGGTTTTTATACCCAGCTATCAGGAAGTTCAACAGGATCATGTTTTAATTTTTTTGCCAGCTGTTTGGTAAAAAACAAAGAAAAGAAAAAGACACCCGTAAGCAAAAAATTTCGATCGTGCCTTTGACTGCTTTGACTTTTGCGCAAACTATACTTGCGTAAAGAAAACAAAATATCAAGATTTTAGGTGTCTTGCAATCACCTTGCACTGTATCTTGGTGTAATGTTATAAAAAGTGATGCGAAGGAAAGCGTCAACATCCTCATGCGTGCTTTCATTTTTTGCGAGATATTTTGAGTTAAGAAATGTGACTGTCATGAGCTTCCTATGTTTATGAATATGTACTTTTGCCTTTGTTTCAGAATAAAAGATCAGATCACGACGATTTATCCGGCCGACGTTGTGCTGTTTGAAGGGATATTAGTCTTTTATTTTCCAAAGATAAGGGATCTCTTTCACATGAAGCTTTTTGTTGACACTGATTCCGACACTAGATTAGCCAGACGAGGTAGGAATTCTCAAGAATTTCCATTAAATTTTGTAAAAGTATTGTTATGGTGTTAAATATACGTATACGTATGGGGGAGAGTAGAGTCCGCCAGAGAAGTGTCATTCAAATAACTTAATTTATTACTCAACCAGTTTTAAAGGTATTTTTTGTTTATTGAATCTACAAACATATAACTTAAAATTGTCACAATTAATACGACAGATCAATTTATTTAAATCTACTTGCTGTTGGTTTGTAAAATATTGTTTAAAAAATTATTTATCAAGTTTTTATAATCTGTTAATACGTAAGCAACACTTATACATAGCGATAAAATATTATTGACGCTATTGAATTTTTAAGTTATGGTATACTTAATTTATTTTTAACATTTTCAAAAATATTATATAAAGTATTATTGGAATTACTACGCCCTCCCATAAGTATTTACGTAAAAAATGCTTCGATTAATAAACTTTTTTGAATTATGATTTAGTGCCTCGAGATATCATTGAAAGAGGACGAGATTTAGACTATGTCCTTAATCAATACATGAATTTCGTAAAGCCAGCATTTGAGGAGTTTTGCTTGCCAACAAAAAAATTTTCTGACGTCATTATCCCACGAGGAGCAGATAATACAGGTATGACTTAAAAAAAATAATTTTTCATCAGGCATTGCACTTAAAAAAGGGAACAAATCTGTGCTAATTTACAATTAATTTTTGTGTAAAATAGTTCTTGCATGAATTTATAATAATTTTACTAATGCATTAATATTTTCATTTAATTTTTCTTTTACTCATCATATAACTTATATCATACTTAATAATAACTTATTTGAGCTATTCTCACTTTTCATTTTTTATTAGTTTACTTTTTAAAAAAAATTCATTT